TCGTCTGAGGCCCAGGAAACTTCCTCCTGCTCTTCCAGCTGAGGGATGTGTGTGATGATGAACACGATGGAGCAGTTGCTGGTTCCTCACGCCACGTACTCTCCTGGCAGAGATGGGAGGAGGGGAGGACACCTCCCTGGGCACGGGACAGGCTCACGGAAGCCCGTCTGGTCCAAATAACGGTTCGTGTTTGTGGTTCTTCCAAAGAGCAAACGCAACGGGCAACCTACAGCCTTTCCCCCCACCAGGGCCTCCCTCAGCGAAATGCTCCTTCTCGGTCGTTTCAGAGAGAGAGGTCACGATCACGACCATCCTGTTGCTCGTGGATTGCCTCGAGCAGGCACCAGTAACGTCTCCTTCGTCCTAGCCCTGAGATTTTACAAAGTGCCATGTTCAAGGCTCTTTCGGGGTTAGGAGAATGAGACCCATCATTGTTACTGGTATTTGGCATATTGGGGACGCCACGGGGAGTTTGCCAGACTCCGCTGTGTGGGCAGGTGACATTCGGTAGCCTGCCAGGTTGTCCAAAGCAAGAATGACATAATAAGATGTGGTGTGGCCACAAATGTGGCCGTGCTTCCGGGAGCTGGATTTTATAGTCAGAGAGAGATACCCAAGGGATTATTCCAGAAAACACGGTCTGGCTGGGTCTGAGATGAACCAGACCCCCTCTCCCCCACCTGGATTCAAGCACGGAGGAGCAGATTTGCACCCCAAGTGGTCCAAATTGCTCTCAAGAGTCTGGCTGCGGGAGTCACAGACACACAGAGGGGTTTGGAACCTTCTAGAAACCAAACGTCGGTCCTTACCAGAATGTAGTCTGACCATTTTTCCCTCGCCGTGCGCAGGGCGGCTTGACGCAGCTTCATGACGTGGGTGAAACGGGAGCTGGGCCAGTGCTTGGGCCCGATTTCGTCGGGGTAGGACCTAAAATCATGATAAATAACAGGATGATGGGCTGGAACGATAGCACAGCGGGGAGGGCATTGTCCTTGCCCGTGGCCAACCCGGGTTTGATCCCTGGCATCCCATATTGTCCCCGAGCATCGCTGCGTGTGACCCAAAAAGCAAATAAATAAATAAATAAAAATAACAGGATGATGGTGAAGGTGATGCTCATTCCCTGCCGAGACAGCCCTGTCTGGAAACGGCCGTCTGTCTGTCCGTCCACTGTCTGCCTGTCTAACTCCCATTCCCGTGACCCCAGGAAGTACAGCCTGTGAGCAGATCACCGCCACCTCCCAGAGAAGGAGAGGTGATTTTTTGTGGAACACTCGAGTCTTCACAGGGAACACTCCAGTGCTTGTGTGTGTGTGTGTGTGTGTGTGTGTGTGTGTGTGTGTGTGTGTGTGTCTTGTCACAACCATGCTCCCCCCGGGGCTAGAACCGCTCTCTCCCCATTTCACATAGGAGGAAGCTGAGGTGAAGTTTCTGTCTGTTCTTTGCTGGGTGCTACACAGTGCACAGGGGTTGTCGTGAGGATTGGCCAGAGTCCTGACCTTGGTCCTGAAAAACTTTCACATGCTCTGTTACACGTGGAAATGTGGATTCGTGGCTTTGTGAAAACATGGCAATGAGGCTGCAGAGAAACATGGCAATGTGACTGAATACAAACAGGGCAATGTGTCTGCAGAGAAATGTCACAATGTGGCTGCATACAAATGTGAAACAATGTGGCTGCAGAGAAAGGTGACCACAGAGAAACGGGACAATGTGACTGCAGAGAAATGTCACAATGTGGCTGCAGAGAAACGTGGCTGCATACAAATGTGGCAACATGGCTGCATAGAAACGTGGCAGTGTGGCCACAGAGAAATGTGGCTGTGGAGAAACAGCATTTCCGGGGAAAGCCACGTTGGAAAGTGGGGGGAAAAGGGTCGCATCTCAACACAGGCTCGGCAACAGCCTCCCTGTGGCTGACTGGCCCGGACAGGGCGAGGGTGGGAGCGGCCACTGGTGCCCGAGGGGTCTCTGGCACTCACAATCCCGTACAGCAGGGGCAGGTCCCCTGAAGGACCCCCTGAAGGGTCCCTGCTGTTTGGGCCACGTCACTGGGTGACTCTGGGGCCCACCCAGGCTGCTGTTCATGAAGTTCTCAGCATCTTGTCCACGGTGAGTGCAAAGTCAGCCCGACCCCAGACCCAGACAGTCCTACTCCGTGGTGTCACCCCCACCCCATGACTGCGGCCGTGACATCACCAGCATCCCCGTTTTCCCAAACCCTGTGCCCCCAAATGCCCTCTGCATATTCATCACCCCCATTTTGGCCTATGATGCCAACCGGTAAAATACGGCTACAGAGAAAATGAGCAGGAAGTGGACCATTTCCAGGCCACTTGGATCCAACTCACTAGCAGGAACTTTGAAAATTCGCCTGTCCAAACTCTTTCATGGCATTATTAAATATTGCTTTATTAAATATTGCTTATTAACACAATGCAGGGCTGGATCGATAGCACAGCAGGAAGGGCGATTGCCTTGCATGTGGCCGACCCAGGTTCCATTCCCTCGTCCCTCTCGGAGAGCCCGGCAAGCTACCGAGAATATCCCGCCTGCACGGCAGAGCCTGGCAAGCTCCCCGTGGCGTCTTCGATATGCCAAACACAGTCACAACAAGTCTCACCATGGAGACGTTCTGGTGCCACTTGAGTAAACTGATGAACAACGGGACACAGTGCTACATACTACAACAGCTCGACACACATACATATAAGAAAAAAAGGATTATAGGGGCTGGAAAGATAGCACAGCCGGTAGGGCGTTTGCCTTGCACGCAGCCGACCCGGGTTCGATTCCCAGCATCCCATATGGTCCCCTGAGCACCGCCAGGGGTAATTCCTGAGTGCAGAGCCAGGAGGAACCCCTGTGCATTGCCAGGTGTGACCCAAAAAGAAAAAAAAAGGATTATAGAGCAGAAAATTAGAAGAATAGGGGGCTGGAGCGATAGCACAGTGGGTAAGGCGTTTGCCTTGCATGCAGCCAACTCGGGTTCGATTCCCAGCATCCCATAGGGTCCCCTGAGCACCGCCAGGAATAATTCCTGAGTGTAGTAGGGCCAGGAGGAACCCCTGAGCATCGCTGGGTGTGACACAAAAAAAGCAAAAGCAAAAACAAAATACCAGAAAATTAGAAGAATAAAAATTTGCTCCGGAAGGACACAGGGCATCACTATCCGCCGAGTAGCCGTCGATAAGTTTCCGTAAGTGACTTATCCCGGGCGGAAATCCAGCCAGTTCACTGCCTGCCTCTTCTCTGAGTTCTGACGCTTCGAGCCTGGGTGCACATTCCCGGGCGTTCTCAATACGTTAATTCATTTGGCCAGCCCCTCCGCTACCTGGGCAGCGGGTTGGAGATTTAGCGCCTGCCAAGAACGCAGCACGGGGAGGAAGTAAAAGCCGTTTGCAGGTGCCAAGGCCTGCCGGCGCGCCCCCAGATTTCTTAGGGGAGGAGGGAGACGTGTGAGTCACGCAATTCGCTGGCCGTGTCAATCGAGCATATTGCTGTATCCAAACGTTTGCCATGGGAAATCGGCGAGCCAGGGCTGGGGCAAACGCAGATGTGAGCCGGGTGCGTGGCAGCTGCTGGGAACGGGGGAGGGTTAGAAGGGTTGTCTGGGGAGAAGGAGAGAGAGGACAAGGGCTGGTGATTAGAAGGAAAGAAAGTAGCTTGGCCTACGAAAGAAAAACAGTGCTGGAGCGATAGCACAGCGGGAAGGGCATTGGTCTGGCACGCGGCCGACCTGAGTTCGATCCCCAGCGTCCCATAGGGTCCCCCGCCAATAACCGCCAGGAGTGATTCCTGCGTGCAGAGCCAGGAGTCAGCCCTGAGCATCGCCGGGTGGGACCCAAAAAAGCAAAAAAAGCAAAAAAAAAAAAAAACCCACAAACCCAGGGTGCAGAGCAATGGTACAGCGGGGAGGGCGTTGGCCTTGCACACAGCTGACCCGGGTTCGATCCCCAGCATCCCAAAGGGTCCCCCGAGCACCACCAGGAGTGATTCCTGCGTGCAGAGCCCGGAGTCAGCCCTGAGCATCGCCGGGTGGGACCCAAAAACAAAGCAAAAAGCGAAGTCACGAGGAACCTCCTTCAAGACGAAGACGGGGCCAGTGAAACCCCACAGGGTCCGCGTGCCCGGCCTGTGGCAGACCCTGGTTTAGCCCCCCACACTACCTTCATCCTCCAGCCCTGTTGGGCGCAGTCCTGGAGGGAAACCCCCCAAAAGGACAGGGTGCCTGGGTGACCCCCAGAACTCCAGAGACCATGAAACAGTGCATTCTTCTGCCTCCAACGCACTTGGACAAAAACTACCAGGAGAAATCTTGGGGGTCTCCTGAGCTCTCTTTGGGAGGATTCGTTTTTTTTTTTTTTGCTTTGTGGGTCCCACCTGGCGATGCTCAGGGGTGACTCCTGGCTCTGCACTCAGGGATCACTCCTGGCGGTGCTCAGGGGACCCTATGGGATGCCGGGGATCGAACTCAGGTCAGCCGTGTGCAAAGCCAATGCCCTACCTGCTGTGCTACTACCCAGGTCCCTGGTTCATCACTCTTTATTGATTGATTGATTGATTGATTGATTTTTGGGTCCCACCTGGCTGACTCCTGGCTCTGCGCTCAGGAATCACTCCTGGCAGTGCTCGGGGGACCCTAGGGGATGCCGGGGATCGAACCCGGGTCGGCCGCGTGCCAAGCCAACGCCCTCCCCGCTGTGCTATTGCTCCAGCCCCTCCCTTTGGGAGGAGCCCTCAGCCTCTCCACCCCCAGAAAAGAAGCCTGTGGAAGGATGACCCGGAAGTGGTCAGTGGCAAGGCCGACCCACGTTTCCCCGCGAGTCCCTCCCGTGGAGGTCTTGCACGTCCGGACCCCAAGCGGGAGGCCCCGCACAGCCGCTCACCTGGGCTCGGCCAGTGGCCGCCACTCCACGTAGTGGTAGGCACTCTTCACGCCACGCAGCCACTCACGCAGGATCTCTGTGGTGTTGTCCACGTTGTGGTCCGTGGCCGCCCTGCGAGAAAGCACGGAGTTTAGCACCCACGGGCAGAGTCGGGGCTCGGCCTGGGCGTCCCCCGGCACCGGGAGGCGAAAGCAAGACCTGAAGATGCCAGAGGATGTTTCCCCGTGGTGAGAGTCCCAGTGACCTGGCCACTAGCTGCTGCTTGATTGTTGGTTGGTTGGTTGGGGGGCCCACCCGGTGATGCACACGGGTTCCCCCTGGCTCTGCACTCAGGGATCACTCCTGGCAATGCTCAGGAGTGACCCTAGGGGATGCCGGGGATCAAAACCGGGTCGGCCACATACAAGGGCAACGCCCTCCCTGCTGTGCTATCAATCCATCCCCTCAGTTGGTAACTCTTAAGATAATTTCATCAACGTACAGTGAGAGAAAGATCTAACTGCACAGTTTTATGAAGTATATCAGAACATACTATTTATTCACTTGGGGCGTCCCACCGGGCGGAGCTCAGGGCTGACTCCTGGCTCTGCACTCAGGGATCACTCCTGGCGGGGCTCGGGGGACCCTAGGGGATGCCGGGGATCGAACCCAGATTGGCCACGTGCCAGGCTAACGACCTCCCCGCTGTGCTATCGCTCCAGCCCCTATGGATGGATCAGATATTGATCAAGGTGCTGAACTGGGTGATGGACCCGATATTATTATTATTATTATTATCATTATTATTATTTTGCTTCTTGGGTCCCACCCGGCGATGCTCAGGGCTGACTCCTGGCTCTGCACTCAGGGATCACTCCCGGCGGTGCTCGGGGGACCTGATGGGATGCCGGGGATCGAACCCGGGTTGGCTGTGTGCTGACTGTGTCCCCGCTGTGCTATGGCTCTGGCCCCCGCTGTTTGGTCCTTGCTTCCCCCTTCCGAGTCTTTGTGGGTGGGGAGCGAGAGTCTCTCTCCTGTCCCCACAAACACACGCCACAGGGTCACGCTGCTCCCTAACTGGACCCTAACTCGGGCCCCAAACACAGCTGTGTCGAATCGGAGACGAAACCAGAAGGCCGGCAAGGAGGGGCGCCCTCCTGACTGCGCAGACCAGGTGGGGTTTGGGCCCTGGACACGTCTCACGTCAAAGCATCGCTGTGGGGCTGGAGCGATAGCACAGCGGGGAGGGTGTTGGCCTGGCACGCGGCCGACCCGGGTTCGATCCCCGGCATCCCCTAGGGTCCCCCGAGCACCGCCAGGAGTGATCCCTGAGTGCAGAGCCAGGAGTGAGCCCTGAGTACAGAGCCAGGAGTCGGCCCTGAGCATCGCCAGGTGGGACCCAAAAAGGAAAAAAACAAGTCACCATGCAGAAGGCTCTGGGTTCGACCCCTGCTGCCTCTACTCAGAAGGCTATTACAGGCGGGTCACGGACGTGACCCAGAACATGGAAGAGTGTCCAGGCGAGGCCTCCCGGGGGTGACCGGCTGTTCCGATCAATGCTGGGCGCGTAGCATTTGGTTAACTCCTGCTTCTGCTTTTGGTTAACTGTGTCTGCGTCTGTCCAGCAGATGGTGCGTTATCTTTTCCAGCAGACAGAAAAACATAAAATTTCTCAGTGATCACTTGTACTGCTGGAAGGTAATTTTCTAAAACAGACACACCAGGTGCCAAGGCTCTAGGAAGCCGGAGCATGAGGGGTCAGTGAAGGCCAGGCGGGGGGACACGAGGTCAGGGGGGAGATGGAGGATACTGGTGGGCACAGCCGTGCTCGCTTCTCTGGGGCCCGCATGACGGCCACCAACAGGCCAGCAATCACCCACCCCAGAAGGTTCCCCATCACGGAGCACACAGTTCCAGGCCCAGTACAACGCTGGAACATTCACGAGAACTCTTTGGAGAAGCAGTTCCGTGAGAGATGGTCCCACTTCCCCAGGTCCAAAACACCACCAGTGGGGAGAGCGACCCGTGAGAATTTTGGCGACAACCGGAAGAGTGAGGAGATGCAGGGAAAACCATTGTCTGTTTCTTATAAAAATGGATGTACTGATGCAGTGATATTTCAGTGGGGAGGGCGTTGGCCTTGCATGAGGCTGACCCGGGTTCGATCCCCGGCATCCCCTAGGGTCCCCCGAGCACCGCCAGGAGTGATTCCTAAGTGCAGAGGCGGGAGTCAGCCCTGAACATCGCCTGGTGTGACCCAAAAAGAAAAAAAAGGCACTGAATTCCTACTCAAAATACAAGCAGAGAGAAAGAAATGATATGATAACATTAAATATAGGGGCCAGAAAGATAGCACAGCAGGGAGGGTGCTTGCCTTGTATGGGGCTGACCCAGGTTTGATCCCCGGCATCCCGTAAGGTCCCTCCAGCCCAGCCGAGAGTGATCCCTGAGCACAGAGCCAGGAGTTATCCCTGAGCACTGCTGGGTGAGCCCCCAAAGAGAAATGCAGCAAGTTATAAAAGTATAGAATGGAAAAAGAGGGACTGGAGCGATAGTTTGGGGGTTAAGGGTAGGGATTAAGGTTTTGCATCTGGCTAATACTGCATTGACTCCCAGAATCACACAGTTCCCCCAGAATTGTCAGGTGCAGCCTGAGTAATTCTGGGGTATAACATAGGATGCCTGAGTAATTCCTAGTAATTCGCAATAGTATTGCACTCTCGGACCTTGTGTTGAACCCCCAAAACAGCTGGCTAAGATCATGGGGAGACCCCGCCCCCACCCACCTGAGCTCAGAGCCCACAATCTACAAAAGCTGCCAACGTAAAACAAACAAATAAACCAACAAAACCCCTCAAACCCAAACACACCCACACAAGAGGAGGGCTTCTCAAAGTTCCGGGGGGGGGGGGGGGGAGAAAAACTTGCAAGAGAACAGTCATCCCCTCCGGGAAATTGAAATATGAAAAATAAGCAAGGGGCCAGAATGAGAGAAATTTCTGGGAGAAATTCCTGTAAGCTCCAAAGCACCGGCTGGGCTTTGGTTTCAAGGAGAAATCAATTTGAGAACGCCTTCAAGTGGAAGATTTCCTCGGAAAAGCACTCCAACAGAGAAATGAAACTTAAAAGGAATCATATCCGTGTCAGAAATCAAGATAAACACTAAAGACACACACACACACACACACACACACACAATCCCAGGCATTTCAGGGGCAACTGCTACCAGATCTGAATCAACTGCATCTTTCCGATGCTACATAGCTTAAAACATTCTGCAGTTCCCCCAAATAATTAACAAAGTGACCCTGCCCTGCACTGCACTGCCCTCCCGTTGTTCATCGATTTGCTCGCGCGGGCCCAGTAACGTCTCCATTGTGAGACTTCTTGTTACTGTGTTTGGCGTATTGAATACGTCACGGGGAGCTTGCCAGGTTCTCCAAGATGGGCGGAGGAATCGAACTCAAGTCAGCAATGATGATTTTTTTTTTGCTTTTTTGGGTCACACCCTGCAGTGCTTGGGGCTAGCTGACTCCCTGCTCTGTGCTCAGGGCTCACTCAATGCAGACCACGTGTCTACCACATACATGGAGACCACATGTTCCACCACATACATGCAGCACTGTCGCACTGTCCTCCCGTTGTTCATCGATTTGCTTGAGCGGGCCCAGTAACGTCTCCATTGTGAGACTTATTGTTACTGTGTTTAGCATATTGAATACGTCACGGGGAGCTTGCCAGGCTTTGCGGTGCAGGAGAGACACTCTCCGTAGCTTGCTGGGCTCTCCGAGAGGGGTGAGGGAATCGAACCCGGCTCGACCGGGCTGGCTGCCTGCAAGGCAAACGCCCTACCCGCTGTGCTATCGCTCCAACCCACATACATGCAGAACATGTGCTATGCCAAATACATGCAGACGTGCCTACCACATACATGAAAACCACGTTCTCTAGCACACACATGCAGTCAACACGCTCCACCCCATATGTGCAGACCACGTGTCTTCCACACACATGCAGACCGTGCACGACTCCACAGAACTCCATCCTGCCCCTGGCAAGGCGTCCTGCGATGTTTTTAATAACATTCCAGAACTTCCTCCGTAAAAGCCTTCCCTGTTTTGGTCCCATTTGTTCCCTGGTTGCTGTCATCAAGCAGATCACTCAGTGAGAGGCCATTCGGGGCCAGCAGGAACCCAGTGGGTTGTGCTGGCTCCCGGCACCTCTCCTAACCCTGCCCGCAGATGCTACTGTCGTGTCTATGAAATGCCGGTACCCGGAATTAATGACATTTTAGTTCTCCCGTTTGAATCTTGAACCTTTTTTTTTTTGCTTTTTGGGTCACACCCGGCTTTGCACAGGGGTTCCTCCTGGCTCATGCACTCAGGAATCACTCCTGGCGGTGCTCGGGGGCCCCTATGGGATGCTGGGAATCGAACCCGGGTCGGCCGCGTGCAAGACAAACGCCCTCCCGGCTGTGCTATCGCTCCAGCCCCGAATCCTGAACCTTTGAGGTCTGTCTCCGACTGCCGAGGCTGTTGCATTGCTTGGAATTCCACAGCCTCGTGAAACCAGAGTGACTTGAGACACTCTTGCTTGGTGTCTAGTCCAAAGGGTATTTTAAACATGACACCATCGAGTATCCGGTTCTTTTAGTCCATTTGGGCACTTAGTTTCTCTGTGTTATTTTGGTTTAATTTCTTGAACTGAGACGTTATTCTTGCTTCCCCAGACTGACAAAACAGAACAAAATAAATTTTCCCAAATTTATTCCTTAGAAATGGTCTTTAAAATTATGTTGTTCGTATTAATTGAATCATTCTTGATATTTATTTTTGCATTTCCTTCACTATTTGTAGAATAAGTCTTATCGGATTTTTCGAATCTCTTCAGAGGATTATAGATTCAATTTGTAACTCCCCTTAATTGCATTTCTTTCTCTTTTTGCTTTTTTGGGCCACACCCGGTGATGCTCAGGGCTGACTCCCGGCTCTGCACTCAGGGATCACTCCTGGCGGCGCTCGGGGGACCCTATGGGATGCCGGGGATCGAACCCGGGTCAGCTGCGTGCAAGACAAACATCCTACCTGCTGTGCTATCACTCCAGCCCCTGAGTGATCATTTTCATTTAATTT